GGGATAACTCTTGTACAACCCTATTGCTCATTATTTGTAGCAGACGATAGTTTCTGGCAGCAGCCGACTAAACACCGTAATCGATCAGACAACTTCATTAAACAGGAGCCAGGCTTGAATACCGAGACACGGTCTTGTTAGTCCAAGGGTAGGGGGACACGGTCTTGTTAGTCCAAGGGTAGGGGACACGGGAACCTAAAACCTAGTCCAACCAGTTGCCAGAAAAAAAAACATGACTCGGTCGGACTTTTACCGGAAGTGGAGAAGTACAAGACACGTGGTTTGTTGAGACGTAGATTAATTAGTGGTAATTATGGGACACTGTTGATTAAATAACGACAATTAGGGACTTAAATACATTTGATTAGTTGATTGTAATTATGGTCCTTTATGGTTATTAAATAACAACAAGTTTTACCGTAAATATATTTGATTAATTTATGGAAATATTATATTAATTATGTAAAGTAGGACTACATTTTAGGAAATCGGAATGAAAATTGCAGATGTAGAAGAGATATATTGTTATATGACCAGTATTTTTTCCCAAACTTCTCTGAAATAGAATATATATAGAAAATATACTTTTAACTGTGTCCGCTGTCCCGGAAATTTTAGTCCGTCCCCCCCCCCCACCCCCCCCCCAACCCCCCCCCCCCGGAGAAAAAAGTCTGGAAAAAACACTGTATGTGACAACAGCGTTTTTGGGAGATATAAAAACGTATGAAAGAGTGACAGATAATGAAGAAGTATAATGACATTAGTGGGCAGTATGATGACAAAAAGCAAGGAATAATTTCACATCAAATGAGAGAGTATAGTAACAGTCAATGAGCAGTAATAATAAAAATAAAAGAGTCATTTGAGTGGAAATGAAGAAATAAAATGTGAAAATCTCAAAGAAAAATGTGTACATTGCTGTTTAAAACAGGGGGGGGGGGCATGAAAACAACCAACTGGGAATCGAACCCGCACTGCAACTCTACCAAGCCGTCCATTACCTTTCGCAATTTTTTAATAATTTTTTTTGCGTCTCAAGTAACAGATAGACATCAGGATCAACTCTGGCATTAGTTCAACAAACCCAATCACTGATAGCCGTCTTAGCATTGACCAGATTCGTTAGTGACCGGTTTTAGTCCTCAGGGCTTAAGATTATTGATCGCGTCTTAGAGATCGCGCTGTTAATCTATTTCAAACCAAAACTAACTTCTATTTTTTTAAATCATTGTTTAAAGAAAGAGCTAAATTATAAACTATAAATCCTAGTCTAAATAGTGTACAAATAACAATTAAAGCAGATAGTTTCCTCAGATAGTATTGAATTCCAGACGCCCGTCTTTGATCTGCGTATCTGAGGAAATCCTTTTGAAATATTCTGTTTGAAGATAACTTTCGCAAGCTTTAAAAAGCCAAGAAGTAAAAAAAAAATCAAAGAATCTTCAAAGAAGGAAAATTGAGCGTTACTGATGGTACTTTGTTTAAAAGCTTAGAAGTATTTGAAAATATTGAAATTAAGAACAGCCTAAATTTGAGGAAATGGACGACGACACATCTCTAAATACTCAAAACAAACTGAAATATTTTTTGAAGGAAGACATAGAGATGGGGCATGTTTGTGAGAGAGGAGAGGGGGGGGGGCTGTTCAAACGGAATAGTGCTAGACTTTTAAGCCAATGCAAGATCTCGCGAAATCTATAAGACGGGGCGCGAAGCTACGAGACCAGTCGGACGTGAGTGTTCTCCCCTTGTAGTCTGCCGGCCACTCACTTCTGCTGGACATAAGTTACGTCATCTATTTCGGCTCGGCTTTTTTCCCACTCCGGTAATTTTACTTATTCATTAACAAAATACAAGCAGTTATTAATTTACTATTTATAAATTAGATTTTCATATATAATCATCGTAATTATTACTTTTAGATTTTTTATTTTTATTTTTGATAATTAACGAGATAATTAACGCGTAAAGTGTTTTATTTTATTCGGAGAAACTGTAACCGGATACTTAATTTTACCAGAAGTTATTTCACGTATGGCAGGTAAGTTTTTTTTCTTTCTTATCACACACTGTTAAATTTTAAAGAATTTGCTAATTGTACAGTAATGAATAAGCTGACAGACTGACAGATTGCAGCCAAACCCAAGTCATGTTATATAATGGATGTGTCTTGGCTTAAAAAATAAAAATGTCTACCTTTATCTCAGAAGAAATGCTTGCGAAACAAATCAAGCAATATTCGTTAGATAGCAAGGGATTGACTTACCAAATTACGCTTCAGATTGAAAAGATAAAACAAAAAAAAATTCATAAAAAACGTTTTAATAACAAGCTTTTATGTAATGATGCACTAAAAAGTAGAAAATAAATTATAGACTACTATTTAAATATCTATAAAGAAAAGCGTGGGTCACTTTAGTATCTATTGGATACCTTTACTAATGTTAAGGAAGACACCCACGCTTTTCTTTATAGTTATTTAAATAGTAGTCTATAATTTATTTTCTACTTTTTAGTGCATCATTACATAAAAGCTTGTTATTAAAACGTTTTTTATGAATTTTTTTTTCAGTACTTTACATGTTTTATTTACAATAGAGTTACATGACTAAAAACCATTGCGCGCCTACTGAACATCACGTTCAGTAGGCGCGCAATGGTTTTTGAACGCAGCCATTACGTGATGGCGCAGCTATTGAAGGTGATGACGCGTGTGGTGTGGTTGGCTAGACATGCCTACTAATTCGGTCCAAATTTTAATTAATTCATAAAAAATTAATTAGGCATCCAATTAAGTCAAATTTAGTTTCAGATTGCATTGTCTTCATGTCTTGACCCACGTGCCAACTGTGAATCGTATCGGTCAAGTAGAACTGTCCGAATTTTCACTCCTGCGTTTCCGTCTAGACAGACAGACAGACTGTCGAGGAAGTGAGTTAAATAAAAGCTTGTAATAAATGAAAACAAACCTTATTTCATCAATTTTAAGTAGTCTTTTATTCTTCATATTTCTCAGAACATTACATTTATAAAATAGAAATGTAAAGTCATGAAACAAAATATTCAACAAACACAAAATGTGCTATAAACAACTCAACATATTACTTTTTAAAAACCCAGTTTTGTCAGAATCAAGGTCTTTTCTATGCTAATGTTTAACATAAAACTAATTAAAATTTAAGTCACAAAGAAAAATATATTGAATACTTTTGGTAAATAGGTTAACTTTATTTACTCAAGTAACGGTCCAATTGTATATATAATTATTAAATTAAGGCATTTGCTTCCAAAACACGTGAAAAGAATTTTAAGCCTAACAAAGCATTTACAATTTTAAAGGGAAATATTTCTGATTAGCCAGTTCAATTAAATTTAGTATCTATGGAAACCAAACTATGGAAACCAAATATAGTTAAATTTTCGGATTTGTTTTTGGTCAAGGATTGATTTTCATTCTGTTTAAAATTTACGTTTTAACATTTTTATTATCGGGTTATGGGTGGGTCATACAAATCTTCAATGATCACACATTAACATATTTCTACACGACTAGAAATAAAAGGGGGGCGGGACTCTGCCCTATCTACATCGGTGATTTACGGCATTTTGGCTAAGTGGAAATCGTAAACATCACCTTACATTATACACAGGATGGGCAACCAGGGGAGGGAATAACATAAAGAACTGCAACTCTGCAACTTCCTTGGTCTGGCTGATAGTTTAGGGTCTTAAAATAGGACGGAGGGAAAGTTGACGTCTGAAATACCCGAGAACTGTAAATCAGACGTTTTATCAGACCATGAGAGGGAGGTCAAACTGACGTCACAAATGTCTGAGTATATTGTAAATCCGTGGTGGTTTTGTTAGACGTTCGTTTTAAGAATAAAAAAATATCATTTAAAGCGGCGTAACTCGTATGGAGAAAATTTTGTTACGTAACTAAGACAATTTGCGGGTAGCGCATTAACAAACCAATATACTTTAAGAAAAGTTTAGATTAAATATGTCCTTAATCTACGAGTCGTTAAAATACATAATTCAAATTCCTTAGAAGAACAACTAGATGATTTAATATTTCTTAAATTTTTCAACTTTTAAATACTGTTGCTTTATTTTTCATTTTTTTTTTACATTTCTTAATTTGCTTTGCATTAAGACTAGTACACTTGTGAATTAAGAAATTATATGAGGCCTTTATAAAGATACTACGCTAATTTGTAATGGTTAACACATGATTAAAATAAATGAATATTTTTTTAATTAGTTTAAATCAAAGTTAAGATTTCATTCAAGTTGCTATATTTAGAATTAGAATTTGTTTTATTCTAAAAGTAGGTAATGTACGCAATCCTTACACGGCAATACAGTTTGTATTACTTTTTCAAAGTAATATTTTTTTACTGTTTGGTATATAGATAAGTATCGGACTCAAATTAGCAACAGTATAACTTCAACCATTGATTCAAATAATGTAATAATTGGTTTATGTATACTTATCGAAATCAAATAAGCCACAGTGCAATTTTTATCAATTTGTTTTTTACAACAAAGCAATAATTATTTATACTATTGTGAATATATATATTTAAGTATTGGAATCAAATTAGTCACAGTAAAATTTATCTCAATTTTTCAACAAAGTAATAATTAGCTTTACTGTTGCGTATGCATGTATAAGTAGCGAACACAATTTAGTTACGTCCCTTGATCAAATCAGAGTTAATTCCCCTCTGCACAAGATTTAATTTAAAATAAACAAGATCTGAGCTAGGGAAATATTAAAAAACTTGGTAGATTATAGGCAAACATATACCATTTCAACACTATTACATGATACGTAACCATATCCACACTAATAGGTGATGCTACTTAATTAATTAATTAGCGGTCATAATTAGAGAGAAAGTCCGAGTATTTATTGTTGTATTTATTGTTGTATTGCGACAGCGCGTAATTTTCTGTTTGCTTGTTCTTAAGTACGCCTGTATTCTTCAGCCGAGCAAGGAAAACACTGCTTCTCTTCATCGTAAGGCGAACATGTTAATTGTTGTGGTTTTAGAACTCACAGCCGTCTTTGTGGCGAAAGCGAAGGAGATCGAATCCAGCTCAGCCGTAGAGGATCATGTAGCCTCAGGGTCGGAAGTTCATGAACACGTGACGTATATCGACGGGTCTGACCCACAGCTGGTCACATCCGGTTTGGGGTCAGCGGACGTATACGGTGAGAAGAATATCGACGAAAATCAATCAGGAGAAGACGACTTATCCAGGAGTTCGATAATCCGATTTGGCGGTGAGGAATTAGCGGGTCAGGTGATCGACACGGACACGTCTGAGATTAGCCGTACCTCCGCAGTTCTTACGGGTGACTACAGACGACATATCCTTCTTTCTGCAAATTCTAAATCCAAAGAAACCGAAAAAAGTCCGCCAAAGCAGGTACAAGACTATACGAGCTCAACTGAAGAAAACAAATCTTTAAATATTAAAAACTTTTTTTCCTACGAAACAAACTCTTCTACTTCCACTTTCGATTCTGCGATATCAAAACAAAACATCTCCAATTTCGCATCGGATTTTTCCGTACACCCCGAATTCTCCAGCTTACTTCCTGTGTCCGAGGGAGTCTACTCTACGGATTATAAACCAGGGGCGACAACCGAACCCGGAGCTTCAGCGGCTGGAGTTGGGCCGAGCCCCTGTGTGGAGCATGTGAGCCGGCCAGTCAGGAGCAACGTGACCAGTCTGCTGGACACACTTATGCTGGCGTATGATAAACGTCTGCGGCCCGGATTTGGAGGTATGTGGTGGTCATTTTTTTTTTACATCCATTGCTCTACACATTCCTAGCTACATTTCTTTTACCGTAAAACAATATCTGTACATCTTTTTTAACACACAATTTCTACTTCATCTTCTTTTTTAAAACTCAATATTTACATTTCGAAAACAAACAACTAAGAATAGCAATATTTACAAAATTATTTTTAAAGCTGGTTTCGATTCCCTTAAAGAATGTTCATACTTTTTAAAAAGTCTTGATAACTCCATAATTTGTTATCAAAAGGGGCTTTTGATTTTCGTGATTTTAATACTAATGAATAAGTTTTTTGTTATTGCAAATTTGTAATTAATTATAAGGCAATCAAGGGCTAGGTGATCAACTCTTTGGCCTCGTGCCTGTAACGGTTTTTGTGTTTTAACCCGATGCAGTTGCGCTTTGATGAAGATTTGGATTTCGTGTAGATGAACTTCCAGTAGCAGACGAGACAGGCGACCAGGACTATAGCACACAGGCAGACGGCGTATATGATCAGGTACACGTTCGTCTCCGCCTGCCGAGTGTGACCTTGGCACAGGGCCAGTTCCCGACCTTGACCTTTATGCGACAGGGTATCCGCGCCGTGGCAGCAGACGTTGAAGCAGGTTTCGAAGCTGGCTGACGTGTGGTTGACGCAGCCGTCGCAAGCGTGGCAGCGTCTGCTGCTCCGGTCGTCATGCCGGAAGTAGAAGTGGACCTGGCAGACGATGACAGTGTCCGTCGTCTGCGTGCAGTTTAGAGCGGTTACTTCCCCGTGGTCGATGTCCGCGGCATGACAAGGGAAGCAACTCCTGCTCTGGTGTCGCTCCAGGTCCATGAACGAGTTATCTTCACACGGGGCGCAGGTCACCTCCCCATTGCTTGAGTTTGACTGAAGGTAGAACCCAGCGTGGCAGAAAACGGGTTGTTCCAGAGTAGCATTGGCCCCCGCCTGGCTCACAACCCTGGCGTTACCCGAGGCATCGATCTCTGGATCAGCTATCGATGACTGATTGACTGGCCCCGCGTCGCCGAACGCGATCGATAGGGACAAAAGGAGAAAGATGGCGACAATGGTCATGTTCTTGACCTGCAAAATAATTCAATCGATTAGTGGACTGCTCTGTCAATTAACGTACAACTCTGGTGAACGTAAACAAACTGCAGTGAGCCCTTTCTAGAGTGTACCTCACTTTTCACCACTGTGTTTTCCTAGTTTATGACTATTTGTTAGAATTTAAACGTATTTACATACATACATATATATATATATATATATATATATATATATATATATATATATATATAAAATATATATATATAGATATATATATAAATATTTACATATATAAACACACATACACACACACACACATATATATATATATATATTTATATATATATATATATATATATATATATATATATATATATATATATATATATAATGTCTCAATTAATGCGTAGTTTTGATAATTTGACAGCTGTGACTTGGGCTAACAAAAGACGAGAAGATGATGAGGAAGATATTAACTTCTAACACCAAACTATAAAAGACTATAGACAGACTTAAACAGGCGTTAAACAGACGTCTAACAGACGTTGTTTGATTCAAACACTCAAGTTTGAACACAGACAGGCTTATCCTTCAGTGTAAACATTCCTCTATAAAGTCTAAAGCTTCAATACAAACAGTGTACTAATTGGTTTGAGAGGTCACGTTAAATAAACCTTATGTTGTGTTAAATGTAGCTTGAATAACACTCACAAAAGAGATATTTCAAAAGATATTTAAAATTAAATGAGTTGTTATTATATTTTTTGTGATTTACCTTAGGCAGGGTAAAAATAACAAGTTTATTTAGTTAATGGAGTATAGATCGTCACAGAGTTAAAATAGTTTAAATAAAACAGTAGATGAATTTGTCTAATTAGATAATTATTCCTGTTCTAAAACAACTCATTAATTTTACCAAAACGAATAAAAACTAACTCATTTTAGTAGTAAAGTAGAAAAAAAAAGAAGGAAATAAAAACAGTTATACTCTTCCGCTTGAACTTGCACTAACGACAAATTCTTTACCACAGTCGTTCATGTTATGCAATCATTCAACATACAACCTTAACAACAATCACCAGCTTAAAGATGACGAGATTAAGGTAAAGACACAATTTATTTACCTTGCAGAGTGCCCAATGAATGCCAGGAAACATGTAAACACACACCCAGTAATTAAAACAATGCCTACATGGCGAATAGACGGACATATTTACTAAACAAGCTCAAGTCAGATCGGGAATTCCCGTATGCGTCAGTATATCGTAGTCCAACAAGGAGAGAAAAAAAATTCGTCATAGTCGTATATAGATTTTAAAGTTCGAGCTGTAATTTATTTAATTAGATCCGGAGGGTTGTGTGGTTTGCAAGTATAAGTAGACTACACGTAGTCCCTCAACCGTTTTATTTTTTGACAGTCAGTGTGGTTAAATATACCCGTAGGCATGTAAAGTTTGTGACAGTTACTGATAAGAACGGGTTCATACTTTTAAAAAACAAGCTGTAGTGGTTTTTAATGGAAGGGTGGGGGGGGGGGGGGGTGTATGTGTGTATGGGGAAGGGAGGGGGGTGGTTTGAATATCATAACATGTTTTGTTGGAGGCTAGATGTAAGGGCAGAGAACTCTCACATCCACACACCGTTTTTTATCCACACACACACAGTGGTTCTCATGTTACTGACAGACTCTACCCCTCCATTACCTCCAGTAGGGCGCGCAGGTAGGGCCTACTTGAGCCCTATCAATGAACACTCTTTTAAAGCTAAATCTAAAAAAAAACTGTTTTGTTTATTTTGTTTGCTATGTAAGTACGTGAAAACTAATTCAACATAAAACGTAGTTACAATAGTACTCATATATATATATATATATATATATATATATATATATATATATATATATATATATATATATATATATATATATACATAATAATATATATTTATAAAGAGAGAAAGATATATAGAGAGGGTAAAGATAGAGTGAGAGGGAGGAAGGGAAGGGGATAGAGAGATAAAAAAAGTGTATAAAATTGTGGGGCTAAGGTACGGCTATATATACATATATACATAATAATATATATTTATAAAGAGAGAGAGAGAGAGAGAGAGAGAGAGAGGGTAAAGATAGAGAGAGGTAGGGAGGGAGATAGAGAGATAAAAAAAGTGTATAAAATTGTGGGGCTAAGGTACGGCTAATCAAAATAACCTGATTTGATTGTCTTCGTTAGATTTTAAAATAAAACCCCAAAGGCAAGTCAAGTGCTCACATTTATGAAAATCATACGACACCAAACCGCTCCCTAAACACGACCAGTCGTCCTGTGGGTCAGGACACATGGGTCAACAACCTGCACCCCCCCCCCCCCCTAGATCTCGCATGTTTACACCACCGAATGCTGTTGTTCATCGAACAGAAAGTGCACAGCGGTAGGTAGAACACAACTCGTCCTGACCTAGTGCTTGACCTCTTGACCTTTGGTCACGTGGCCTGCTGTAATCAGTACCGGGTGTGGGTGTTTATGTCCCTGTGTGTGTGCGTGTTTGTTTTGGAAATCGCTAATTTAAAACAACATGTTTTTGAAGCAGAAACTTTAATCTATTCCACCACCACCCATCCTCCCCTACAAAACAAGCTCGAATAAAGTTAACCTCCCCTATAAGAGAACACACTTTTTGATGGGGGAACGTAACTTAAAACTCAACTATTTCAAGCCATTAAATCGGATAACTACCAATAAACACAACATTGTTAATATTTATATTTTAATAATGAAACACCATGGACTGCACTCACAACATATACACACACACACACATATATATATATATATATGTATATATATATATATATATACATATATACATACAAAGATACATATATATAGGCCTATATATATATATATATATATATATATATATATATATATATATATATATATATATATATATATATGTAACTAGGGGAAGTTACCAAGAGATATAACGTGTTACAGTCTGACGTCACAGTGCAGGTGTTGGCTGATGCCAAGGCGTAATATCTCGGGAAGCGATACGAAAGACGGTCTGTCAACTTTGATGTGACAGGATGCAGGTGGCTTATTAAAATCGGACTGTACGACAGAAGCGGCGTAATTAACAGTCTGATGTAACGATTAGAATCGATTACAATTACGATTATGATAGGACCGAATATGAGTACGATTATGAAGGGGATATAAGAAAGGCGACGGCTGAGCTCGAGGTCTCAGAAGGTCTCAGAAAGTCGGTCTGTCTCTCAGAGGGTCTGTCAGTCAGTCCGCCAGTCTCTCTCTCTCAGTGAGTCTGTGTGGCAGTATCCAGTTGGTTATATTGTGTTAAGAAGGACGTTAGACATGTGTATTCAGTTAGATGAAGCCTAGTGAGGACTGTTGGGGGTCCGTTGATTCAGACTATTATTGTGAAACATCTCTCTTGATTCAATATATTATTGTGAAACATTCTTTGATTCATGTAATAAAAGGATCAATAATGAACCTGCATCTTCGAGTATCTATGCTGTGGTCAATGTTGTGTGGAATGAGTGGTTAGACTCGGGAAGGTCACATTTGGCGTTGTCGGCAGGGTAGCCAGAGACTCGTTACATTTGGCGTTGTCGGCAGGATAGACTCGGGGACTCGTTACATTTGGCTCTGCGAGCAGGATAAGTCTCGTTACATTTGGCGCTGCGACCAGGATGAATTCAACGAGACTTGCCGCTTTAGGCACCCATAGTCAACCTAGTTCATAACTGTGTTTAGTGTGTGTGTGAATTCGGATATTCAGGAACAGTGAAAATTGAGGAACGAGGAAAATTTTTTTCATACACACACGGTAAGAAAGAACTATTTTTTTTTTACTAAAGGAATAAAATGTCTACTCTGGACGAGAAGCAGACCCATATTGTGGTCCTGCCCAGAGAGTCCCACATTAACAAATTTTACGGGGACGGTGATCCAACTTTAACCAACAGGTTCAGTGAGGAGGTCAAAGCGGCCTGGGCCTCGAGAAACATGTCACCAGAGGAAAGATTAAGACTGCTGATGGGCAGTATAGGAGAGACGGTTAGGGCAGAGGTCAAATGCCACGATAAAACCGTCCAATCAGATCCAGATAAGGTGTTGGATCTAATTATGGAGACCTTTGGGGAGAGACGGTCGGGATCGCAACTGCTAACGGGGTTCGTAGGCTTAAAGCAGAGAATGGCGGAGAGTGTGATGGAGTATTCACACCGAATAAACAGGGCCTTTGATTCGGTAAAGGGCAAAACACCTGACATTGATGTACGCCTACTGAGGGACCAGTTCATCGAGGGGCTAGCAACCCCGATCTTAAGGAGAGAGTTGAAGGAGGAGGTCCACAAAGATCCGCAGTTGACCTTCCTTCAGGTCAGGAACTCAGCGATCCGCAGGTCCGAGGATGAGGACCAATCGAACTGTTCGGTGGACAAAGTCTCGGTGCCGGAACAGAAACAATCCCCACCCACGGGGACCGGCACGGTGGAAACCATGATGGCTCAACTGTTGGCCCACCTGGAAAAGGTTAACCAAAGATTGGAGAGGTTAGAAAGCAGGTCAACAGCTGAGAATCAGGAAAAGAACGGTACAAAACAGAGACAGGTTGGACGGCCGCGACCCGCCGGTCCATCACTCCGGTGGACGGCTGACGGTCGACCAATTTGTTTGTCCTGTTCACAACCCGGACATATGGCACGGTACTGCCAGGGAAACGGTCGTCCTCTGTAAGGCAGGGCCAGGCTACAGAGGGGCGAGGTTATGGCCCAAGAAGCAAAATGATGGGAGTCTGTCCCGAAATGGTGATTACGATTGGGGACATCGCGGTGAAGGCAATTGTGGATACAGGCTCCCAGGTGACGACAATTACGGAAAATTTTTACACCAAATGGATGAAAGGAAAAGACCATAGGTTGAGGTCTGACACATGCATGCGCCTGACGGCAGCTAATGGACTAACCATTCCATACTGTGGTTATTTTCTGGCGGATGTCGTGGTGGCGGGACATAGGTTGAAGCAGGTTGGGGTGTTCGTTACGAAACACAACCTAGAGACAAATGTGTCAAATATACCTTGCCTGTTGGGCATGAATATTCTTGGCCAGTTGCCAGAATTTCTTACAAATATTGTCGGATCGACCACACCAGGTCGGGGATCCAAGTTGGCCAGGTTTGCCAAGACCAGAGGAAGGATATCAGTCCCGGCAAACACGGTCAAGGCAATCACATTACAAATTGGTGATAGAAGCGTGAATGGTGATGTGATGATAGAACCATGTGGCGCCGCACTGAGGGCAGGCGTCGTGTTACTGCGGACATACACATCAGCGGAAAATGGACTAGTTCAAGGATTAGTGGCAAATGTTTTGGATGAGGAAATTTTTATACCGCCTAATACTCTGGTAGGAGTACCACAGAACGTCGAGGTACAAAGGTCGGCACAGTGCATCGAACTGAGCAATACCAGCAGTAATGAAGTAACAATTAGGTCGGTCAATGTGACGGCCGAGGTGAAGAAAGAGGATGGCCGATCATATACATTCCCGGAAACTGAGGACCCAAAACTAAATGAATTGTTGAATAAGTACAGGGATATATTTGCCTCGTACGAGGGTGATTTGGGTTACACGGAAGTAATAAAACACCAGATACCCTTACTACAAGACAAGCCGGTGGCGCAACCTTATCGAAGATTACCACCGAGTCACTACTCTGCGGTGAAGGCACACCTGAACGATCTACAAAAAAAGGGAATTATTACAACCAGCACTAGCCCGTATGCGGCACCGATAGTAGTGGTAAAAAAGAAGTCAGGGGAGATAAGACTGTGTTGTGATTACCGGAAATTGAACAATATCACAAGAAGGGATGCATTCCCCTTGCCTCGTATTGATGAATGTCTTGATGCGTTGGGGGGAGCAAGATTTTTTTCTACCTTGGATTTGGCTAGCGGCGACCACCAAGTGGCCATGCACCCCAACGATCAACATAAAACTGCATTTATTTCTCCACTGGGACTGTACGAGTGGACCCGTATGCCGTTTGGTCTAACTAATGCACCTGCTACATTCCAGCGAGTAATGCAGAGTGCTATGAGTGACTTTCTATTTCAAATAATGTTGGTGTACTTGGATGATATACTAGTTTATTCAAAAACTTGGGAGGACCATCTAGAAAGATTAGAACAAGTGTTTCTCCGTCTTAGGGAGATAGGAGTAAAGCTGAACCCAGACAAATGCTGCTTCGGTCTGAAATCGGTACATTTTTTGGGTTACGTGATTTCGTCGGATGGCATCGCCACTGACCCAGATAAAATTGCAGCTGTTAAAGAATGGAAACAGCCAACAACTACAG